CCTGGATAAGCACATTATAATAATATAGGCCTCCTATCTAAGATATGGGTCCTGGGTGAGCACATTATAATAATACAGGCCTCCTATCTAAGATATGGGTCCTGGGTGAGTACATTATAATAATACAGGCCTCCTATCTAAGAGATGGGTCCTGGGTGAGTACATTATAATAATACAGGGTTCCTATCTAAGATATGGGTCCTGGGTGAGTACATTATAATAATACAGGCCTCCTATCTGAGATATGGGCCCTAGATGAGTACATTATAATAATACAGGCCTCCTATCTAAGATATGGGCCCTAGATGAGTACATTATAATAATACAGGCCTCCTATCTATGATATGGGCCCTAAATGAGTATATTATAATAATACAGGCCTCCTATCTAAGATATGGGCCCTAGATGAGTACATTATAACAATACAGGCCTCCTATCTAAGATATGGGCCCTAGATGAGTACATTATAACAATACAGGCCTCCTATCTAAGATATGGGCCCTAGATGAGTACATTATAACAATACAGGCCTCCTATCTAAGATATGGGCCCTAAATGAGTACATTATAATAATACAGGCCTCCTATCTAAGATATTGGCCCTAGATGAGTACATTATAATAATACAGGCCTCCTATCTAAGATATTGGCCATAGATGAGTACATTATAATATCTAATATTTAGAACAATTACTGTCTAATAATACCAATATCAAAAATAATGTTTGTGTTGTGACTTAATCTTTGACTCACATTCTAAAATACAAAATAATTTATTGTCCACTGTAATAATAAAACTAAAAATAATACAGTCATTAAAAAAAGTTTGTGAAATGTGAAGGAAATGTACCAACAGCAAGACTAAATTATGCATATTATATTCCAATTAATATGTAAATTAGCTGCCTTTTCTGACCAAAATCCTGGGTGGAACACTGCTTTGTCTTCTAATATCTCCTGCATATATTTTTGTTTTTTTTAATTGTTTTCAGGTTTAGGTCAATGTAGGTTCTAGCACAGTATTTTGTTTGTTTTATCAATACTTGCAGAGTTTACAAATCATTACCAATTTATACTTTCACAGAGCAAAGGAAGAAGCTATTAGACTAGAGAAACAAAAGGCTGAAGATGACAGGATAGCGAGAGAGAAAGCCAGGCTTGAAGCTGAAAGAAAGAAGAAACAAGAAGAAGCAGCCATATACGCAACTTTAAAACAAGCCAAATTAGAAGCACAGATGGAAAAAGAAAGAAAAGAAAAGGAAAGGCAAATGGCAGAATTACTTGAACAAGAAAAAAAGAGAAAAATCCAAATGGCAAGTGTTCAATATTGTTCAAGATTTTGTTGGTTTAGAGTAAAAACTTTCCACAAATTTAGATTAGACGAATGCAAAAAACACAACACATTTGGACTTAATTCAGTGACTGTTCGAGCTGTTGTTTGTATTGCTCTTCCAACCAAATGCACCATAGAGTAGGGGTAGCGTTCTTCCAACTGACTCCACATTGGAAACCCAGCAGCCAACCTTTTCCATTGCTGAGAAAAAAATTCTTTGTTTATTCTATGTTTTCGTTTTTGTCAATGTGCTCTGAATGATCTTCCTTGCTTGTTGACATTAATACCCATAATTCATTGCATGTATTCCATGATTGACTGGGGTGATTCATCTACTCCTACTATGTTTACTAGTGAAAATTGAAAGTAAACATGTTGTACTATGGAATATATGTGTTGAAAAACCTTAAAGACATAATATTGCATTGACATAATAATGTCAAGGAATATCTACTTGACTGTGCAGTACTGTACTGTACTGTACTGATGATTTGCACATGCAATCGAAAAACTTAAAATATCAGGGCAATTTTCCGTGTACAAGTAAAGATTTAAATTCTCTCACAAGCCTAAGGCTTGCTTTATGTGCTACACAAGCATGGGTGACCTTTCACCTTAAGACATATTCTAATTGAATTATCAATATACATACTAGCATGGGTGACCTCTCACCTTAAGACAAATTCTAATTGAATTATCAATATACATACTAGCATGGGTGACCTCTCACCTTAAGACAAATTCTAATTGAATTATCAATATACATACTAGCATGGGTGACCTCTCACCTTAAGACAAATTCTAATTGAATTATCAATATACATACTAGCATGGGTGACCTCTCACCTTAAGACAAATTCTAATTGAATTATCAATATACATACTAGCATGGGTGACCTCTCACCTTAAGACAAATTCTAATTGAATTATCAATATACATACTAGCATGGGTGACCTCTCACCTTAAGACAAATTCTAATTGAATTATCAATATACATACTAGTACCAGTTTTGATCCCAAATTTGTTCTGCTCTTTAATTATCCAATCATAGGAAATAATTTCCCAAAATTCCTGTCAACATTATATGCATCTATTTTTAAAATAGCAAGACTAATAATGTCTTATGTATAACACTATTATTTTACCAGGAGAAGGAGGAAAAGGAAAGTAAATCCAGGGAAGAAGATCTCCGGAAGAAATGGCAACTCAGAGCACAGGAAATTTATCAGAGAGGAAAACAAAAAAGAGAAAGAAATAACAAGGATGCTGAAACAGAAAGTAAACAGACTGATGAATTTTGGAAAGAACAACGTAAGTGGCAAGTCTATAAATATCTTTATTATTTTTGTTTGGCCCTGAATAATAGCTTAATAATAACTATTATATCAGTACACATGATATTGCATGTACTTTACTTACTATAGTATGTGGTGGTCGTCTTGGAGCATTAACAATAAATAATCCAACAAGAGATAATTCATCATTCCACAGAAGAGAAGTCTAAAATTGCAGATAGGCATAGAAGTGAACGTGCAAAACAAGCCAGGAGGAGTTTGCGAATGTCTGTTGACTATTCAACTTTAGGCATGCCTGGTGTTGTGGAACAAGCTATGCAACAAAACTTACACAAACCAAAACCAGCATTGCCACCAAGGTAAATAAATAAAATGTGTATGTGTGAATTTGAATTATTGTCACATGTGCTGACAGGACAGGACAGATCAAAAACCCATATCACCAGCGTCACACTGTTTTTTAGCTCCGCTGTCGACTTTGTCGAGCGGAGCTTATCATATGAGTGATTGTCCGTCGTCGTCAGTGTCAATGTTTTACTTTTTTGACTTCTTCTTGAAAACTATAAGCCTGAATGCTTTGATACTTGGTGTATATGTACCTTGGGTAGACCTCTCTCAGATTTGTTCATTTTGTAATGATATCTTCTATTCTCTAATTTTGGTGAATATTTTTGTCATTTTTAGTAAAAAGTGATATTTTCGACTTCTTGTTAAAAACCGCAAGTTCAA